CACACATGGACAGATAATGGAGAGGACATTTTATGGGAGGAACAGATTTTAAGCTACAGCAATGGGGTGTTTAGAGTTAAGTCATTTTTAAAAGAGATATATTATTAATTTCACTGTTTAACATTCAAAAAATAATACTGCAGTATTTTAATTACAAAAGAGGTATGTAACACCATGAACACTATGAACGTACCAGAATCTTATCATTTTTTATAACTTACATACATTTCATTTGTTGTACACATCTTTTAAAGTTTAATTACAAGAAATTTTTTTCAGTTTCAAAAATTGATGTAATGAAGTCTTTAAAGTGATAGTCTTTCCAGTTTTCACATAATAATTGATGAAAAACTTCAAGTTGGGTAGCTTTTGAGACCGGAAATCAACAACAGTGCATTCGAGCCCTAGTGTCCCGGGCTTAATTACATACCTAGCACTCTGAATATTTAAGGTTTCAGGCTTTAATCATTGTTATGCCCTCTTCCATGTTGAAAGGGAGGGCATATTGCTTTGCATCTTTTTTGTTGGCCGGTCTGTCTGTCTGTCCACCAACAGTTTCCGTTAATTTTCGTTGCAGAGTTTGTACGTACAAAAAAGACTTTGAAATATTCCAGTTGTTGGCCATCGTCGCAAACCACGGCCATAATGTATGATCCTCTCCAATTCTGGCCATGGTTGAACAAGGAGACAATTCTTCATAGCTCATTAAAATATTGACCAGTGCGAGTAAAGCATAGTTGGATAATGAACTTTATCGCGACCTTTCAATATCCAATCACAGTTAACGAAATATTCCTTGTATACAATTGATGTCAATTGTTGCGATGGAAACAAAACTTCCCACTAACTGAATATTGACGTCACAATAGAGAGGCGTAAATATTCAAGATTACGACACTTTATGAGCAAGCAGTCACCACGGGTAGGAGAGAGCTTTATGCGGACTCTAGACTGTGGCTTGAGATGATGCTTGTTGGGGTGGGGGGAATGAGTGTTTCACAAAACATCTCTTGTTTAATTAACATTATGAAGTAAATGTTTAAAAACCCATGGAATCAAATGGTTTTATTATAATGTATTTGTACTGATTTGAAGACAAATTCATCTGCCATATCATTTTCATAGAAATGGGTTTATAAACAAGGAATTTATTGCATGATGTAATGATATTAGCAGGTTTTTGTAATGGTGCATATTTACACCAATACTTTCATGAGAGCATGTCACAGCATGCAAAATTTATCTATTTATTTTCAATCTTACAATAAAACTCATTTACTATTGCTAAAAATACTGCAAATTATGTACAATGCAAAATATTGTTTGGTTCCCCAGCTATATAAATATTATTAATTTTGGATATGCATAAAACAATATTAAAAAGAGATAGTAAACAATGGAAATCAATATTGCTTGAGTTTTACTGTATTTATAATGATAAAATTGTTTAACAAAATTAATTTTTCATAGGTCCTTAAAAGATAACTATGCATAAAGTACAACACCATATATTATGAACAGTTGTTTCTGTTTTGTATGTTTTTGTCTTTGTGAAATATGACCGTATATTTATGTTAATGTAATTATATAAATGAAATTTTATTTACAAAAAGCAAAATAAAAACACCAGGAATAAGACATAAATGAGTTTCAGCTATTACTATGATTGCATCATTCAGGATTACTATAAATAAATAAAAGTGAGTATAAATATATATACTTATATCTGTAAATGAATAAAAATGTAAAAAAATATAAAAATGTATATATTTTTATTTTAGGTTCTGTACTGGAATGATACTGAGAAGACAGACAGTAGCATATTTGAGCTAACAGAAAGAGAAATTAATACAGACATCAAAGAAGGGAATTTATTTTTCAAAGATCTGTTTTAAAAAAAATTGTAATTTCATTTTAAATAAACATTAAGCTGATTTAGAAAAAAATATATTAATTTATACTTAAATATGAAAATTCCTATTTTAGACACAGGAGCAAAATTGGATCACAGTTATAGCACATTTTGAACAGACTATAAGGTATGTCTTACGGAGTTACCTTCAAAATGTTATTAAACTTTATTTAAACTTTGGAGTTATTCCTCTTTGGTAACATAAGTGGTATGGTTTTATCTATATATGGATCTAATTTACATATTAATTAGCAAGCAACCAATGAAAATCTCTTTATTTATAACTAAGTTAATATTATTGTGTTTTAGAATTAAAAAAACTCATTTTTAATTTTTTAGGTGGAATAGCGACTGTGTATTCGGTTGAATAGCCAATCATTTCAAATCAAGTTGAGCGGGTCTGCATCGTTATTTTGACGAAGTTTGAAACCAGTGGTAATTTTTTGACACTTCCTCTAGATTTAAGAAGATTCTTGCCTTGACAACTGCTCGAACTCCCGGGTTGGCATGCTCTAAAGGTTTGTTAACGATTTCCAGCCGTGTTCACTTTCACTTTCAGATCAGTACATTGTGCATGTTTTGAAAGAATGAAACTAATCAAAGTCACGCAAAACGACGCTTTGTATGTTATTTTCTGCTAGGATATTAGATAAGTACTTTTGATAATTTGGGGATTAAATGTTAATGTGCGTCACTTTATTCTGTAAAGGTGTATGAATCATAGGGGCTTTTCTTCCGGATTGATAAATGTAAAATAATTTCTTTTTAAATTTGTATCTACATTTAATACACTGTAAAAGTTGCTTTAATAAAGATTCTGATCAGGCAAGAAAAATAATGTTTTTAAAAAAAGTACTAACCTATATACATAAACTCTCAACTTTGAGAGTTTATTTATTTTTATTTATATCATTTTGTATTTTGAACTGTGTCCATTTTCTTAAAACACAGGTATAGTGAATTCAGTATGCAGATTGTTGAAGGGAAAACATCAAGACGGGGCGAGGAAGGCAACAAAACATGATTACCCAGATTGAGGATCCCAGTGTTCTTTGGTACAAGAACATTTTAATAATAAATTTCATGAAATCTGTTACTTGAACAAACATTTACATTATTTAGTGCTTGACTTGCTCGGAAGTCAATATCGTCATATATTTGTAAAAAAAAAAAATCAATTTCCTTTGTATAGTCTCAAGCTACTCAGCCTACCATGAGAAAATTAAAAGATCTGTCATGAAGAAGAGGCGGCCGAGGGTTCTCAACTTTCATATTATAAATGGCAAGTATTTGTTTAGAACTAATTTTAGATTATTCTTGATAAAAAATAACATAAGGGTGTTTATCAATTCATAGCTTATTAGCTACAGTAACTATTTGTGATTGCATTGTGTATTAATTTTCAAAATCAATTCATTCTTTGGTGACCAAGTTTAGCGGTTTGCTTCAAACTCATAATTTTTTATAAAAATATTGACTATATTTGTCCATATGTATAAAATGTTAATCACGGTATGAAATCTATTTCAGCATGATTGTCATCTTACATTTGAGGGACTCTCACCTAAAGTCCTTTTACCGTTCCATGTCAGGAAAAAGTACATGAGCTGAAACATGCGATTGGCAAAAAAAGGTACATATATCCTAAACCATAACTTGAGTATCATTCTGTATACATGTACAGCTAAATTAAATATGTAGCGCTATATTGTTCATTTTGTAAACTGACAACTGAGTAGTCAGCTGGAAACCTATGATTTCTCAATATTTCAGGGATTTATTCTTTGTTTTTGTATAGTACCCTTAAAAAATACATATTTCTCAAATTGTAATTTATAGGCTTTTTGTAATAAGAGATACATGACCTAACCCATTGATTCTTCATGTAATATGTCAATAACAAGAGTTCCACTCATCTTATAAAATTGATAAATTTACATTTTTTTTTTTGCTTTTTGAGGTTAAAGGTCATGTATGAACTTTTTATTTATTAATTAGGTTGTGCCTTGTTTTTATTTTTATTAATCATGGTATTGTAAATTCTGATAACACAGAAGCCTTTGAGAATATTCATACTTATGCATGGCACTGAAAAAAATACTTTTTTTCTTTTAGGAAAAGCATTAGGAAAATGCCTGCATGGGGAGAAAAGTTTTGAACTCTGAAAAGGGAGGTGTGACAAAAACATTTTGACAGTTGTTGATTTCCACTAAAACCAATATCCACAAGAAAGAGGACATAGTTTTAT